ACCTCCCTTCCTGCATGGATTGCATAACATTCCTGTGAATAGAAAAGGAGTACTTGTGGCACCTTAGAGACTAACAAATTTATTTGAGCATAAGCTTTTGTGAGCTACAGCTCACTTCATCGGATGCATTCAGCTGTAGCTCATGAAAGCTTATGCTCAGATAAATTTGTTAGTCTCTAAGGTGCCACAAGTACTCTTTTTTCTTTTTGCGAATACCGACGAACACGGCTGCTACTCTGATTCCTGTGAATGTTACAATAGTTACTCTCAGAGATAAGTAATACTAGGAAAGTATTGTCTGCCTTTCTGGTGCAGCGTAGAAGCTAGAAATAAGAGCTGGCACCATGTGACCAGTCAACTCGCTTTCTACGAGCCAAATTATTGTTTCTATTAAAAGAAATAAATAAATAATATCATGGGATAGTGCCATCTTGACTTTCAAGTTGTTTACAGGACTTTTCTGTCTTCAGAAGTCCCGACTTCTGTGGTATTCATGATACATGGGTTTCAAATCATTTCACCAACAACTAGTTTAGCTTTAACTGAGTTAGGACAGGAGTTTATAGGATAGGGATCACTTCATCCACAAATTAAATACAACCACCTCTGGCTATGTTCCATCCCACAAGTGGCTATTTTTAGGTGGTTGGGAAAAAGGATTTTTTGGGGGGCATTCACTCAAAATGTAACTAACTTCATCCTTGGAGCTTGGGACAGGGTCACTATGAATTATTTTTGTAACCCTAACTTAGGGCTTGTCTATACAAACAATTGGACTGTATGAATCTACCCTACACTAACTTACTGTGGTCTAACTGGCAAAGAGTCCTGTGTCACCTTATAGACTAACAGACGTATTGGAGCATAAGCTTTTGTGGGTGAATTCCCACTTCGTCGGATGCAACCGATGCTGCATCCAACGAAGTGGGTGTTCACCCATGAAAGCTTATGCTCCAATACGTCTGTTAGTCTATAAGATGTGTGACAGGGTTGGGCCGGATGGCTACAGGAGAGTAATAGAAGGCAGATATATTAGCCCCAGGCTAAGTAGGTCCCTTTCCCCTGCGTAAGGTAACAGGGAAGGTTCCAGAACAATCAGGAACCTTCTGGAGACAAGACAGACAGGCTGATTAGAACACCTACAGCCAATCAAGAAGCTGCTAGAATCAGTTAAGGCAGGCTAATCAGGGCACCTGGGTTTAAAAAGGAGCTCACTTCAGTTTTTGGTGCGTGTTTAAGGAGCTGGGAGCAAGAGGCGCTAGGAGCTGAGAGTGAGAACGCATACTGTTGGAGGACTGAGGTGTACAAGCATTATCAGACACCAGGAGGAAGGTCCTATGGTGAGGATAAAGAAGGTGTTGGGAGGAGGCCATGGGGAAGTAGCCCAGGGAGTTGTAGCTGTTGCACAGCTGTTCCAGGAGGCACTCTAGACAGCTGCATTCCACAGGGCCATGGGCTGGAACCTGGAGTAGAGGGCGGGCCCGGGTTCCCCCCAAACCTCCCAACTCCTGGTCAGACACAGGAGTTGACCTGGACTGTTGGTTCACAAAAATGGCCAAACTGAGGGCTGCCGTGAAGCTCCAAGGTGAGCAAATCCGCCAGTAAGTGCAAGACCCACCAAGGTAGAGGAGGAACTTTGTCACAGGTGCCACAGGACTCTTTGCCGCTTTTACAGATCCAGACTAACACGGCTACCTTTCTGATACTTGTGGTCTGAATATTTGTGTGCACCCTGCTGCTGTGCATATCAATTTGTATTAACAATTTGTTAATACACTTTGAGTCGCATTTACCATTGTCTAATTGTTGTGTAGACAAGCCCTTAATTGAGCATGTATTTTTCTTTTTTTTAAATGGAGGCACTGGTCTCTTATCGTTTAAGGTGAGTTGAGTCTTGTACTTGAGGCTGAATCTGTTTTATTTATGAAAATACAGCATATTCTTGCCAAATTATAGAACTTGTTTTATGGGTACAGAATAATTTTTTTTGAGAATTTGCAACTTACTCTGTTGATTAGTTTGAATTAATTTTAACTTAAAATGGATCCTTTAAGTTAACACTTCTTTTATGGAGACAAATTGGGACCAAAAATGTAATAACAAACTCTTTCCATATAATTAAGGCTCACTGAAAATTCATGCATAGGAGACATTTTGAAAATATTGGGTTGTAATTAAGCTAAGTTGTTAGTCATGTGTATTACATTAGTGCCCACTGCCCAAGGATCACGCAAGAATCAGGCTTTATTGTGGTAGACACTGTACAAACATAGACTAGTAGCGGTCCTGGCCCCTATGAGGTTACAATGTAAAGACAAAACAAACACAGGGTAGGGGCAATAGGTATAACATACAAGAAGAGATAACAGTGCCATGGTAGCAAACATCACATTAGGTTTTGCATTAGAGAGCAAGTTGGGTAAAGTGGTGATATGTATTACCTTTTGGTATCTGGTAGAGATGGAAGTGAAAGGCTTAGAGAACAGGAGTGACTATTGATTATTTATCCCAATGCGAATTATGTTAAAATAGAGTTAAAGTTGAGAGTATGCGTCAGTAATTTAAGGTATAAAACATTATATGGATGTTGTAATTATCCCCAAAACAAGTATTATAAATTTTGGATTTCCTTTAAGGTTAGCTTTAATGCTGAATTTCCTAACATAAGGCACCCAGACATCTTATATTGACATCAGGAGGAAATAATTCTAATGTGGGTTCTCCAGCATGAATAGGCATTAATTATAACTGTATGAGTTGCTAAATGATATCACTGCAGGGCAGGGGCAAGGTTGTTTGGGTGTTCTTACTGTGCATTTTCGTACCTTAACGTGTTAGAGTTTCTTTTAAGGTTAGCCTTAACTTCTGTAATTTGTACTGAAAACAAGTGTTATAAATGTAGGAAATTGTGTGTCCATGTAATGTTGTTTTAAGTTATTGAGACATACACCCCCTTTAATGCCAGCTGGGAATATAAAAATTGGTTGGGGAATTATTCAACTATCTATCGCTTCCTGCAGCAGAAGTGAACACCTGCTGCTCTTACTGGAATATGTGCATAGTTGGCAGCATGTCGTAAAGGTTTTCAAAGGAAACATCTCAGATAAAATGGGGTGTTCCCGGCCTTTGGAAGCTTTACAAATATTAACTTAGTTTTTAAAAGGGAATACAGTAGTCGCCCATTAAGTTTTCATTGCTTTAGATCAAATTGTGTCAGTATTTGCAGTGTTCATTGTGTATTTCTGTCATTCTTATAAGTAGAGACAACATTAATTAATTATCTATGGCAATTCAACAGTTAAAGGCAACCACTGTACTTATCTCGGTTTCAGTTATGGGGAAACTCAGGTAGAAAGGATAAGTGACACTTGCCACATCAGTATGGAGAAGTAGTGGTCTGCGTATAGAAGTAGAGGGCTCTTAAAATAGCTTCCAAGTGAACTCTGTACATTGTTTAGTACTGTTTGACTTGGGGGGGGAGGTAGCAGCTTCCAGCCAAATTGACCCTTGGTCAGTGGAGTGCTGAAAGGTGACCAAACAAGACACTTCTACAGTAACTGTTGCTCTGTAAGACAGCAATGGAGGGGCTGTTGGCTTTGAATATGTTGTTGTAGTGGGATGTGGCCACACAGGCACACAAATCAATTGAGCTAACAGTGATTGAAGCTCATCCCTGCAGGGAATTGAGGTAACTAATACCAGTGGATGGCCAGCAAAAAAGCCGGGGCATTTTCCAGTGATGGAAGGACGTAATCAGCCAATTATTTCTCTCTCTATAGTAGCTACTGTGTGAGTTAGTGTCAGCGCTAGGGGCTAGATATAGAAATGCCTTGATGTTAATACACTACTAGACTGTGCTGCTTCTCATGCTGTTGAAGTGCAGCTCCTTGTGGCCACAGGCCACAGCTGCTCAGCAAAGAAGCCAGCTATGGTACTGGGAGCAAGCTTGCAGCAAAATTGGCATTATCAACAGAAGTCCAGATGTCACTGCCCCCAAAGCTATGAATTGTTTTTAAGGTCTGCTCGCTCTCTCTTCTGCCCTGTTAGGAAAAACGGAGGGCATCAGCAGGGTGCAGGAGATGAATGGCAAATAACTGATTGTCAGCAGAAACTATTGACAAATGTTGAACCCTAAACCAGTGAACCTTTGAATCTTTGTTTGTCACTTCATATGTTCAAGATCTTTTGCACAAATAAAAGAGCTAGAAACTTTTAGATAGTGAAACCTGAGGTTTGGAGTACTCCAAATGCTGGCTGTCCATAGAAATTGAAGATGGAAAGTATAGAAGAATCCTATAACAATATGCAACTGTGGGGGAATTTAGGAAGATATGCAATTACCAGAGTTGGGATTTGGTCAGGACACTAGAGGTTAAAACTCCTACCTGTGAAAAGGTCCATAGGCTCTTCCGTGATCATGTGTGGACAAGACTTCCTATTTTACGTCTCATTTGTGTCTGAGTTAATACTGAACCAGAGTCCCACCTACTGTACTGCCAAAACCATGTCTTGCGACACTCAGCCCTGGCCTATGTTTAAAATTTTAGATCAACTTGGGGTGTGTGTGAAAAACTGACACCTATGAGCGCCATTGTTTAGCTCCGTGGTTCTCAACCAGGGGTCCCCTGTGGGGGCCATGAGCAGGTTTCAGGAGGGCTGGCATTAGACTTGCTGGAGCCCAGGGCAGAAAGCCAAAGCCCTACTGCATGGGGCTGAAGCCAAAGTCTGAGCAATTTAGCTTCATGGGGCCTCAGGCAATTGCTACTCCCTAATGGTTTGAGCATTGGCCTGCTAAACCCAGGGTTGTGAGTTCAGGCCAGCCCTGGCTTTTATATGCAGAAAAACAGTTGTTGCGTCATAGGCGGGCTGTGGCGTTTTTATAGCATGTTGGAGGGGCCTCAGAAAGAAAAATGTTGAGAACCCCTCGTTTAGCTGACCTATTCCGCAATGTAGGCACAGCTACACTGATGTAGGAATTTTCCTACTGCTACTAGCTACCATTTCTTGAGGAGAAAGGGTTTTTACGTTGATGTAGGAATTGTCTATGCTATATCAGCAGCTGTGCGACTACTGCATCTGTAGAATAGAGGTGCCTGAAGATAGATCTGGGAGGTATTTCATTCAAATGCTGACCCAGTCTGTCTCCACAGGCCAGTCCTTGCCTACAGACAGCCCCGCAACCTGAAGCAAATACTCACCAACAACCACATACCACACAACAGAACCACTAACCCAGGACTAACAAAGCCCGTTGCCAATTGTGCCCACATATCTATTCAGGGGACACCATCACAGGGCCTAATAACATCAGCCACACTATCAGAGGCTCGTTCACCTGCACATCCACCAATGTGATATATGCCATCATGTGCCAGCAATGCCCCTCTGCCATGTCCATTGGTCAAACTGGACAGTCTCTACGTAAAAGAATAAATGGACACAAATCAGATGTCAAGAATTATAACATTCATAAACCAGTCGGAGAACACTTCAATCTCTCTGGTCACGCAATCACAGACATGAAGGTCGCTATCTTAAAATAAAAAAACTTCAAATCCAGACTCCAGCGAGAAACTGCTGAATTGGAATTCATTTGCAAATTGGATACTATTAATTTAGGCTTAAATAGAGACTGGGAGTGGCTAAGTCATTATGCAAGGTAGCCTGTTTCCTCTTGTTTTTTCCCCCCCCCCCCCCCCCCCCCGAGGTGTTCTGGTTTAACTTGGATTTAAACTTGGAGAGTGGTCAGTTTAGATGAGCTATTACCAACAGGAGAGTGAGTTTGTGTGTGTATGGGGGTGGGGGGGATGTGAGAAAACCTGGATTTATGCAGGAAATAGCCCGACTTGATTATGTAAAGAGTTGTCACTTTGGATGGGCTAGCACCAGCAGGAGAGTGAATTTGTGTGGGGGGGTGGAGGGTGAGAAAACCTGGATTTGTGCTGGAAATGGCCCACCTGTTGATCACTTTAGCCCTGGTCTACACTAGGACTTTAGGTCGAATTTAGCAGCGTTAAATCGATGTAAATCTGCACCCGTCCACACAATGAAGCCCTTTATTTCGACTTAAAGGGCTCTTAAAATCGATTTCCTTACTCCACCCCTGACAAGTGGATTAGCGCTTAAATCGACGTTGCCAGCTCGAATTTGGGGTACTGTGGACACAATTCGATGGTATTGGCCTCCGGGAGCTATCCCAGAGTGCTCCATTATGACCGCTCTGGACAGCACTCTCAACTCAGATGCACTGGCCAGGTAGACAGGAAAAGAACCGCGAACTTTTGAATCTCATTTCCTGTTTGGCCAGCGTGGCAAGCTGCAGGTGACCATGATGGAGTCCCAGAATCGCAAAAGAGCTCCAGCATGGACCGAACGGGAGGTACGGGATCTGATCGCTGTTTGGGGAGAGGAATCCGTGCTATCAGAACTCCGTTCCAGTTTTCGAAATGCCAAAACCTTTCTGAAAATCTCCCAGGGCATGAAGGACAGAGGCCATAACAGGGACCCGAAGCAGTGCCGCATGAAACTTAAGGAGCGGAGGCAAGCCTACCAGAAAACCAGAGAGGCGAACAGCCGCTCTGGGTCAGAGCCCCAAACATGCCGCTTCTATGATGAGCTGCATGCCATTTTAGGGGGTTCAGCCACCACTACCCCAGCCGTGTTGTTTGACTCCTTCAATGGAGATGGAGGCAATACGGAAGTAGGTTTTGGGGACGAAGAAGATGATGATGAGGAGGAGGTTGTAGATAGCTCACAGCAAGCAAGCGGAGAAACCGGTTTTCCCGACAGCCAGGAACTGTTTCTCACCCTAGACCTGGAGCCAGTACCCCCGAACCCACCCAAGGCTGCCTCCTGGACTCAGCAGGCGGAGAAGGGACCTCTGGTGAGTGTACCTTTTAAAATGCTATACATGGTTTAAAAGCAAGCATGTGAAAGGATTACTTTGCCCTGGCATTTGCGGTTCTGCCTTTGCAAAAGGTTTCTGGGGAGGGCAGCCTTATTTCGTCCTTCATGGTAGGACACTTTACCACTCCAGGCCAGCAACACGTACTGGGGAATCACTGTAGAACAAAGCATTGCAGTGTATGTTTGCTGGCATTCAACCAAAATCCGTTCACGCGGTGGGAGGAGGCAAAATGCGACCTTGTAACGAAAGCACATGTGCTATGTATGTAATGTTAACAGCAAGGTTTACCCTGAAAGAGTGTAGCGACTGTTTTATAAAATGTGTCTTTTTAAATACCGCTGTCCCTTTTTTTTTCTCCACCAGCTGCATGCGTTTCAATGATCACAGGATCTTCTCCTTCCCAGAGACTAGTGAAGCTTAGAAAGAAAAAAAAAACGCACTCGCGATGAAATGTTCTCCGAGCTCATGCTGTCCTCCCACACTGACAGAGCACAGATGAATGCGTGGAGGCAAATAATGTCAGAGTGCAGGAAAGCACAAAATGACCGGGAGGAGAGGTGGAGGGCTGAAGAGAGTAAGTGGCGGGCTGAAGAGAGTAAGTGGCGGGCTGAAGACAGGGCTGAAGCTCAAAGGTGGCGGCAGCGTGATGAGAGGAGGCAGGATTCAATGCTGAGGCTGCTGCAGGACCAAACCAGTATGCTCCAGTGTATGGTTGAGCTGCAGCAAAGGCAGCTGGAGCACAGACTGCCACTGCAGCCCCTCTGTAACCAACCGCCCTCCTCCCCAAGTTCCATAGTCTCCACACCCAGACGCCCAAGAACGCGGTGGGGGGGCCTCCGGCCAACCAGCCACTCCACCACAGAGGATTGCCCAAAAAAAAGAAGGCTGTCATTTAATAAATTTTAAAGTTGTAAACTTTTAAAGTGCTGTGCTTAAAGTGCTGTGTGGCATTTTCCTTCCTTCCTCCACCACCCCTCCTGGGATACCTTGGTAGTCATCCCCCTATTTGTGTGATGAATGAATAACGAATGCATGAATGTGAAGCAACAATGACTTTATTGACAGGTTTCAGAGGAACAGCCGTGTTAGTCTGTATTCGCAAAAAGAAAAGGAGAACTTGTGGCACCTTAGAGACTAACCAATTTATTTGAGCATGAGCTTTCGTGAGCCACAGCTCACTTCATCAGATGACTTTATTGGCTCTGCAAGCAATGATTAAAGGGAGGAGGGGAGGGTGGTTAGCTTACAGGGAAGTAGAGTGAACCAAGGGGCGGGGGGGTTAATCAAGGAGAAACAAACAGAACTTTCACACCGTAGCCTGGCCAGTCATGAAACTGTTTTTCAAAGCTTCTCTGATGCGTACCGCGCCCTCCTGTGCTCTTCTAACCGCCCTGGTGTCTGGCTGCGCGTAACCAGCAGCCAGGCGATTTGCCTCAACCTCCCACCCCGCCATAAACGTCTCCCCCTTACTCTCACAGATATTGTGGAGCACACAGCAAGCAGTAATAACAGTGGGAATATTGGTTTCGCTGAGGTCTAAGCGAGTCAGTAAACTGCGCCAGCGCGCCTTTAAACGTCCAAATGCACATTCTACCACCATTCTGCACTTGCTCAGCCTGTAGTTGAACAGCTCCTGACTACTGTCCAGGCTGCCTGTGTACGGCTTCATGAGCCATGGCATTAAGGGGTAGGCTGGGTCCCCAAGGATACATATAGGCATTTCAACATCCCCAACAGTTATTTTCTGGTCTGGGAATAAAGTCCCTTCCTGCAGCTTTTGAAACAGACCAGAGTTCCTGAAGATGCGAGCATCATGCACCTTTCCCGGCCATCCCACGTTGATGTTGGTGAAACGTCCCTTGTGATCCACCAGAGCTTGCAGCACTATCGAAAAGTACCCCTTGCGGTTTATGTACTCGGCGGCTTGGTGCTCCGGTGCCAAGATAGGGATATGGGTTCCGTCTATAGCCCCACCACAGTTAGGGAATCCCATTGCAGCAAAGCCATCCACTATGACCTGCACATTTCCCAGGGTCACTACCCTTGATATCAGCAGATCTTTGATTGCGTGGGCTACTTGCATCACAGCAGCCCCCACAGTAGATTTGCCCACTCCAAATTGATTCCCAACTGACCGGTAGCTGTCTGGCGTTGCAAGCTTCCACAGGGCTATCGCCACTCGCTTCTCAACTGTGAGGGCTGCTCTCATCTTGGTATTCATGCGCCTCAGGGCAGGGGAAAGCAAGTCACAAAGTTCCATGAAAGTGCCCTTACGCATGTGAAAGTTTCGCAGCCACTGGGAATCGTCCCAGACCTGCAACACTATGCGGTCCCACCAGTCTGTGCTTGTTTCCCGAGCCCAGAATCGGCGTTCCACAGCATGAACCTGCCCCATTAGCACCATGATGCATGCATTGGCAGGGCCCATGCTTTCAGAGAAATCTGTGTCCATGTCCTGATCACTCACGTGACCGCGCTGACGTCGCCTCCTCGCCCGGTATCGCTTTGCCAGGTTCTGGTGCTGCATATACTGCTGGATAATGCGTGTGGTGTTTAATGTGCTCCTAATTGCCAAAGTGAGCTGAGCGGCCTCCATGCTTGCCTTGGTATGGCGTCCGCACAGAAAAAAGGCGCGGAACGATTGTCTGCCGTTGCTCTGATGGAGGGAGGGGCGACTGATGACACGGCTTACAGGGTTGGCTTCAGGGAGCTAAAATCAACAAAGGGGGTGTCTGTACATCAAGGAGTATTTCAGGCAGGACTTCACGGAGGGTTCCAATAAGAAATGGTGCACCTAAGTTATCGTTCTTATTGGAACAAGGAGGTTAGCCTGGCCTCTGATTGATACATGGCTAGATTTACCTCGCTGCACCTTCTCTGTGAGTGACTGCAGTGTGATCTAGAGGAATGAGTCCCCTAGACAGGGGAGGAGGCAAATGAGTACAAAACAAAACTGGTCTATTTCTTGTTCTGAGCCACTCCATCTATCTTTTACATCTTTGGCTGGCAGCAGACGGTGCAGAAGGACTGCATGCCACCCACATCTCATGGCTGCTCGGCAGAAGTTGGTACAGTACGACTGCTAGCCATCTTCATCTCTTGCCTGCCTGGCAGAAGATGGTACAGTACGACTGCTAGCAGTCCGTATCGCCTGCCCGCTCACCATAAGACGGTTCAATAGGACTGACTGCAGGACTAAAGAGAATGACCTGGTCAAGTCACTCCAAATTTAGTCCCTGCACCCATGTCTGCCCAGGCGCTCCCAGCCGACGTGGCCAGGAGCACCTCGGACATGACGATGACGGCTACCAGTCGTACTGTACTGTCTGCTGCCACAAGGCAAGGGGTTGCTGCTACTGTGTAGCAATGCCGTACCGCGCCTGCCAGCACCCAGGAGACATAGGGTGACGGTTACCTGAGCGGGCTCCATGCTTGCAGTGGTATGGCGTCTGCACAGGTAACTCAGGAAAAAAGGCGCGAAATGATTGTCTGCCCTTGCTTTCACGGAGGGAGGGAGGGAACGGGGGCCTGACGATATGTACCCAGAACCACCCGCGACAATGTTTTAGCCCCATCAGGCATTGGGATCTCAACCCAGAATTCCAATGGGCAGCGGAGACTGCGGGAACTGTGGGATAGCTACCCACAGTGCAACGCTCCGGAAGTCGACTCTAGCCTCGGTACTGTGGAAGCGCTCCGCCGAGTTAATGCACTTAATGCACTTAGAGCATTTTCTGTGGGGACACACACACTCGAATATATAAAACCGATTTCTAAAAAACCGACTTCTATAAATTCGACCTTATTCCGTAGTGTAGACATACCCTTAGATAAGCTATTACCAGCAGGACAGTGGGGTGGGAGGAGGTATTGTTTCATATTCTCTGTGTATATATAAAGTCTGCTGCAGTTTCCACGGTATGCATCTGATGAAGTGAGCTGTAGCTCACGAAAGCTCATGCTCAAATAAATTGGTTAGTCTCTAAGGTGCCACAAGTACTCCTTTTCTTTTTGCGAATACCGACTAACACGGCTGTTCCTCTGAAACCTGTCACTTAGCTTTTGAGATCCACTGCATCACAGCATAAGGTGGCATGGCTGCAGGCAGCAGCAAATGACACATTTCATTGCTTTGACAATCTTCTTTGGAGGCACAGAGTCAATTAAAAGCTGTGACTCATTCAGGGAAAACAAAGTGCCTAGTGATCTTATTCTTGGGCCATAAGATCATTAAATTTACCATGAGCACTAGTGGTTTATGATCCTGAGATGTCAGCAATGCATTTCTTATTTCCAGTCTTCGTAACGTTGTTTCCTAGAATTGATGCAGGTTTTAACAATAGAAAAACTTTAACGATCCATTATTAAATTTACTGGAGACACTCTGCCAAAGGGATTTTTATTTATATTATTTTCTAATATTATAAAAATGGCTTCAGTTAACAGTATTCAGTCTCACTTGCACTAGGAAGATGTTCAAATCTATGTCTGTACGGTAGTCTGTGTAGGGTGTTGGCCTGCAGTAGTAGACTAATGCGGTTCTCAGATTGGTTTGTCTTAACGTGAAACACTTCTGATGGAATTTGTACAGATGTTTAAGAAAGAGAAGGGGGAAGATGTTTCAGAAACTAATCAATTTTTGCTTCCTGGATGCTTTTTGTATGACACCTTTTTGTCACCTGTATTAAAACCCTGCTTGTCTGATGTCTTCAAGAAAAGCTCAGCAGTTGCCATGGGAGGGAGAACAAGATGGTTTGGGGGATCTCTCCCCCATTGCCACCAGTGACAACATTCTAGCAGACTCCCTGCTGGTGATGGCAAATGTTAGCTTTCTCATTAATAGGAAACATTTTAATTCCACATTTCTTCCTTCTTCCCATATGTGCTTCTATAAATATCACTTGAAACTGGAACAGAATCTTAAACTTTAAAGAGGCAAGTTTATCTGATCTAGTTTAACTACGTTTAACTCACATATGGAGACTAGCTGTAGAAGAATTTTAAAAGTCTGCCTGTTTCTAAACTAGGTTTAGGTTTCTCAAGTATTCTTGAACCCTTAGGGTATGTCGGCATTGCAGCTGGGAGGTATAGATGTACATGCACTAGCTGCGATCGAGCTAGTGCGCTAAAAATAGGGGCGTGGCCATGGCACCGCAGGCTGGTATTGCGGTGGGGTTGTACTCGGATGACTATGGCAAGGCGCTGCCTGTGCTGCCATGGCCCCACTGCTATTTTTAGTGCGCTGGCTTGCTCAGAATTAGCGCAGCCGTGTCTACGCAAGCTGTGGTTACATCTTCCAGCTGTGGTGTAGACATACCCTTAGTGTTGGGGTGTGTCTACCCTACAGCAGCACAGCTGCAGCTGTTGTAGCGTATACAATGTGTTAGGTTAAGAAATTAGTAGAAATTCGTCTTTGGCCTAAGGTAGGCTAAGTATAGAGGAGTATGGGAAATTGAATGTATTAGTATGAGCAAAAGCTAGAGAGCAGTTGGAGACGTGAGATGGGAAAATCAAAGTTTGGTTATAACTGGTTTTAGCAGGATTTCTAATGAGTGAGAATTTAGATTGTAATATTAAAATGCTATCTGTATTGATAGCATTGGGAAGAACTGCAGATGTTAATTTAAATAATGTGTAATGTAAAGAGCTGGCAGAAATGTAGATGTGGTAATTGATAGGTTTATTGTTAATTACTGTTATAATGGGTTATAAAAAAAGAGAAGCCTTGATAAAATGCCGGAGAGCCCCAGTTAACACCAAAAGGGTTACCATTAAGTTATGAGTTATACTTCATTCTGTTGTCAGTGGCCTGATCACCCATTGATACACCATTCTGTCTTTGAATGTGAGAGTAATTGTAGTACTTGTGTAAATGGCAATTGCATGCCTCTTTGCTTAACTAATCATTTTTTCTCTTAAATAAAGTTTAGTTCTATCATTCAAAGTGTCATCCAAGGTCCTCTACTAACTTAAATTGTCTGTAACTGACTTCGAGACTCAAACCTGAAAATTAAGTTTGTTAAAGTTTAGAATGCAATAAACCAATGTAATAATTGGGAACATTTTAAAATTCAAGGTTACAGTGTGCCATTATAGTGTCGTAGCATAGACATTTCCTACATTGATGGAAGTGGTTAACCTACCTCTCTGCGAGGCAGTAGCTAGTCT